AACTACAGCGTCGACGTTTGTACGATACGACGACTGGCCGATAGCTGTTGAACATCAGTGTCAGCGAAGTCTGTCTGTAAATCTGTCTTGCTCTACGTAGACAGAGGCCCAGAAACTGTAAACAAGATAAGCCCACACTAAATCGGAGTTGCTGCCATAGCAGTTTACCAGTTTTTTTCAGGCCGCAGCCGGTACATGGCTTAAAAGGGGAAAAAAATGAAGAAAATATCGCAACTATCTGTATCACGCGATCGTAGTGCACGATTCGTAGTATACGGTGCCACGCTGAAAACAAGCAAGCGACGATGTACCATTACATTTTAAGTTGAAGGGATTTTGTCCTCTCTCTTCTTCTTTCTTTTTTTAAAGCAGAGACGTGAGATGCTGATATGCAGTGCGGCTAGAGAAAAGAGCTTTTATTCTGTTATAAAGTTACCCTTTCACATTATTAAAAGCACTGTCTTTCTTAGAGAAGGTGATTGGGAAACGATAATAATAATAATAATAATAATAATAATAATAATAATAATAATAATAATAATAATAATAATAATAATAATAATATAATAATAATAATAATAATAATAATAATAATAATTGTTGCAGTTTTACGCCCCAAAACCGCGATATGAATATGGGGAACGCTGAAGTGGAGTTAAGAATTTTATGATGGTTTTTTTTGTTTAGCGTGCACCTATAAACAGTTACGTACAGGGGCCTAGCATTTCGCATGTCGCTGCTGGGCTACCATGGCATGGTGAACGCTATAGAAAACGCGTGAAAATGGAGCGCAGTGCGCTTCTTTCCCGATGCCACTGCACACGCACCCTCTAAGAGAACACGATCGAAACATCTCTTGATATTCAAGACTATCGTTCTGGTGATGCGGGCCTAATGTGTCATGAGAACGCCACGCTGCGAGCTGCCCATCCTGCCAGTCTTTGCGTAGTTCGTGTGATTACAGAAATTAGAGAGAAGCACTCCTGTGATATCAAGTGCGGTAATAGGGCCACACCGGATGGCTTCCACTTTTGAGAGGCGAATGCATAACAAACCCTGTGGTTATGCCGCTCATAAATTTCCATCTTTTCTAAATATCTGTGTTTCTTTAAAAAAAAACACTGTTTTGCCACATAGCCAATGCAGTGAGTTCAGCGCAATAAGTTATGTTATACGAGCTGAGGCTAGCAACTAAAAACTTTTGGATCCATCGTCAGAATCGTCAGCCTGACTGAGCCCACTAAAAGGCGAAAAACCTCTCCCAGTTCCGCGCGCTAAAGAACCCGCGCAAACTCCTTGATCTCGGCCCACCTAACTTTTCCCCCTGACGTGTTTACCTTCCTTTGCAATATAGTCAGCTACATTTAATGACCAGCGGTTATCTTGTATACGCACTGCACTGCCTGCCCAGTGTTCATTTTTTTTCGACGAAAATGTTATTAACACCACTTTGTTTCCTGCATGCCCTGCTCTGATATTTTCTTGTCTCTTAATGTTACAGCTTTCATTTTTTTATTCTGCTTACTGCGTTGTCCTCGATATCAGTGGAACCCTTTTTGTAAGCCTCCAGGTTCCTGCTGTAAGTACCAGCAAGATGGAGCTGTCACTACATAGACTTATCTTAAGGGATCACGGCAACTAACAATTCGTGATTTGATAACATCTGGTGATTGTGCTCCCCACCATTCTTGTTCTTCCGTTACTTCAGCCTCATGGTTCTGCTCTGTGGTCACTATACCTGTCCTAACTGATTGATTGATTTGTGGGGTTTAATGTCCCAAAACCACCATATGATTATGAGAGACGCCGTAGTGGAGGCCTCCGGAAATTTTGACCATTTGGGGTTCTTTAACGTGCACCCAAATCTGAGTACATGGGCCTACAACATTTCCGCCTCCATCGAAAATGCAGCCGCCACAGCCGGGATTTGATCCCGCGACCTGCGGGTCAGCAGCCGAGTACCTTAGCCACTATACCACCGTGGCGGGGCTACCTGTCCTAACTATAGACGTATTCTTTCATCACTTCCAGAGCCTCGCTGCCTATCACCGAGCGTTGTTCTCATGAGAGGTTATTGCACACTTCTTCCCTTCTGCATATTAATCTTGAGACCTGCGTTCTGTTTTTCTTGTCTAATGATGCGCTGCGATTGGGGCCCCAGAGTTACACATCAGTGCAATGTCATCAACGAATCGCAGGATACTAAGATACTCCTTACTGACAGTTATGCGTAACTCTCCCAATTTGAGACACTGAAGACCTGTAAGCACGTGGTGAAATTTATGGATGAGATCGAGTCTCCCTGTCACAAACTCTTCTTTACTGCCATTTGGTCACTTTTTATGGAGATAACCATAGTGGTTGTGAAACCGCCGTTCACTTCATCCAGTATATTATATATATAGTTCGTCGACACCCTGATTCCACAGTGCCTGCATGACACCTGGCCGTAAGTGCAAGGTGCGATCATTTTTTTTTAATGTTGTCTCTCATGAAGAAAATTTTTTTGAGGAAGTGGGAAAGAAAGGGGAAAGCAATAAGGTTAGCTAGATTGGAGTTTCCGATTAGCTACTGCTCTCAGGTTAAAAAGAACTGGTTGAAAAGCAGATAAAGAGAAAGTTGGAGACGTATATACGTTCCAAAAATTAACACAATAGTATAAAAAAATGCATGATGCCCTGTTTACCTGTTGAGTTTCTCTACATACTGATGCAGAGATAACATGTTCACGCTGAAGCAATTGTAAATCGAACATTATAATAAGCATAGCAGACCTTTTTTTCAACGACGCGGATATTTTTATAGCACATACCCTTGGCAGTAGCATACAGCTCTATAATATTCGTTTAAAGTAATTTCTGTCTTTCTCTTTCCACTGCTGACACTCTCGCGTCGGCACAATCTGTCCGAATTCGTTGCCGTTGAGGCACTGCGCAGGAGCAGCTGTGGCAGGAGGAAAAATAATTCCAACTAGTCGCGCAGAGATCTGACTAAAGCGGGTGGTATGAATTTCCGGTGAAAAATAAATGTTTTATTTGAAGCGCAAGCTTGCCGTCATAATTTCCACTGTAATACCGCGTGCGCTTTCCGGGTGCAAACATTTTTGGTGCAAAGATTCTGCACCGACCTTCCGATTTAAGCAGTTCATGCCAGAGCAGAGCCAGTAAAGCACAGTTCGGCAATGGTTTATCCGTACGGGTTCCTCCATTAAACTTCCTTAACGTAGCTTTTGGCGCGAAATGAACACGAGAGACGGATTGCGCTTGTCCGTCTCTTGTGTTTATTTCGCGTCAAATGCTACGTTAAGAATGATCCAACTCGCCCGACAAGTCACTCTGCTGATATTCAACTTCCCTTGATTGCCTCACACGTGCAAGGACTTCACGAGAGAGTCGAAGCACTCACACACGTTCGAAAACAGATAAAATCTGGGGCCGTATTCTAGTATTTTACAACGCCTGGCACATACTATGCAAACGATATGAATAAATTATGTCATAACAGCTGAAATCATATAAACTAACGAATGCCAACAAAATCGAGCGCCGTTCTCCGGCACGTGGTTTAAAGGCGTGGTTAAAGAATGAAGAAGAGAAATTTGTCTCGCCATTACTCCCGGAAGGGGCTCTCCAACACTAATTAACGCCCCATTTTTTTATTCGTGGGATGTGTAGACTGACGTACACACACCCACACACACTAATGCAGCCATAACGGCCGTTATAATGGCATGCAATCCCAAGTTATTCCATATAGAAAAATCAAAATACAAGAAAAAATTATCTACTCTCAATCTGCTTATCGTGTGGTCACCTGACCACATTTTCACTCACCCGATGACGTCGGATGGCTTCCCCAAAGAAGTTAGCGAGGAGAACTCACGCAGGAGAAGCTCGCAAACCATTGTTACTTGTTCTTTCAACGTAACGTTCACCTCGTTGCCACGGTAACAAACGTGGTGCCTAATGCTTGATTTGCCAGAGCGAGAGCGAGCACCATACTGTTTCGAAGCGAGGTGTTTGCTGCTCTTCTTTACAACAATCCACTCCCTCCTTTTATTCTGCGAAAGGAACTTGTGGAACGACCAGAGCAGTCAATGAACGTTGACCTATCACGCGTTCTTCGGTAAGCTACGCCTTTGAGAGTTGAACGAAATAGTAATATCCTGTCCCTAGTGCGTTCTGGGTTCAAAATGGCTTGTGTCAGTAAAGCTTTCGCATACGGCTGCATTATGGGTAATGGGTAGCATGCTTCAAACCACGAGCAATTGTGAGCGCGGAATATTTTCGGGCTTGCTATGTATACCCACTACGTGACCTTAAGAAAAAAAAAGGTGCAGTTACGTGTGTGCGTGATAAGTCATGATAATCGGATGTCCTGATGCCCGATCGCAATGTACGCTTGTACCACGCATTATTACTGCGATATTACATGTTGCACTGTAAAGCGTGTATACAGGACGCGTGTCTTTGTAAAGCATGCAAGTAACCTTCACTGCATTTCCACCAAGCAAATTAATTTCACTGTGCTGCTAAGCAGACGTGTGGCTCTGTGGTATAACATCTGCTTGCCACCTGCGGTATTCTTCGGCCCTCAGATGCATGCAGGAAAACGAAGTCACGAACAAGAAACACATTTCTCGACACATGCATACAGTGAATCACCTAACAATACAAATATCCGTTAAGTCCTATGGCATGCGCGAGAAGTCGGTGCGTCCTGACTTATAGGTCCGTCGAGCGTCACTCACGCTACCGCAGAGAGGTGGCGATGATTCCAGCACGAAGCGGACAGTTGCAGTGATGAAGTCGTGCGCAGGTGCACGAGTAGACGAAGACCTGCTCGTCGCGGAACGTACAGGCCCACGCTAGCGACTACCCCCTCGGACGTGGCACCACGGCCACGGTCTTAGCTCGGGTTGTGCCGGAACCCCTGGGACGTGGCACCGAGGTCACGATCTCGGCTCCGGACCACACGCTCGAGCCCCACAGGAACAGCTGCTAGGCCGGCCCGTAACGCTCGCTCGTTCCAGGAACACACCAAGCTCGTCCCGACTGGTCTGGTTGCACCAGCTCGACCCCCGTGGACTCTCGGACCGAACGTCCGGCGCCCTGGCTGGCTGGCCACGTTCTCCCATGACCCGGCGACGTTCGCCAGCTGGCGAGCTGTTGTTGTTGTTGTTGTTGTTGTTGTTGTTGTTGTTGTTGTTGTTGTTGTTGTTGTTGTTGTTGTTGTTGTCGTTGTCGTTGTCGTTGTTGTTGTTGTTGTTGTTGTTGTTGTTGTTGTTGTTGTTGTTGTTGTTGTTGTTGTTGTTGTTGTTGTTGTTGTTGTTGTTGTTGTTGTTGTTGTTGTTGTTGTTGTTGTTGTTGTTGTTGTTGTTGTTGTTAGTGGCGCATACCCACTATGGGGGATTGGCCAAGAATCGGGTGGCTTTAAAATTACTGTTCAGATTTGGAATAATTGAGGTATAACAGAAAGATTACCGATAGCCTATATAGGAAAGTGTGGTGCTTAATGTAATGCATACAAATATTTCCATAAACAAATTTATTAATGGAATAGAGCAATAATCTGATTTTATACGTATATAAATATGTGGACATGTTAGGATAATGAAACTGGTTAATTAGACAACCTATTAGTTTCATCCATATATTCCCGGACGGCCGCGCATACTGTCACATTAGAGAAACCAGAAATAAAAAGCGAGTTTCGCGAACGACTCCCTCGCGCACACCATCGTCGTCTTTTCCGGCGTACTCTCTTGTTGGTTATAGTCTTTTACCACAGCATTACCACACCAGCCAACAGACCCGGGTTCGGTTGTCATTCAGACCCGGAATTTTTTGTTATTTATTTTATTTGCATGTTTCTCGATTTCTGGTCACGCGAAGACGATTCTTCGCTCACAACAAACAACGCCGACACTGATGCTGACACCAACGCCAACACCGGAATTTGGGTAAAACGGGCTTTTCAACGCTCTCGCGTTAATAAAATGTCGCAGAGAATGCGTATTTGGTCAAGCTCGTTGTGATAGGAGCACGTAGTGGGCGTAGTGCATCTACCGCAGAAAAAAAAATTGAAACAGTTATCCTTACAGGAATACCAGCAGTGCAACAGTACATGTTCTTTATGTATTTTAACTGATGTTTTTTGGGTGTATAAACGAAGTTCTTTGTCATAACTTTTTGTATGCACACATGCAGTTTTGTTTGGTGTGACCAAATTGTTTAAGAAGAGAAAGACTTCTCTACTATGTGTATATTTACAGTGTCTGTTTAGCTACATATGTATTATGTGTAATTGATATTTCCCGCTTCTGTCCATTACTTTTCTCATTGGACTCTACACTAGCCTCAGGCTATGGGTCCAATCAGTGTTTGTAAACCTCATGTGACAAATGATAATAAACGTTCAATCAATCAATCAATCAATAAATCCGCCAGGAGTCGAGCGACGCCCAGCCAAGATGCCTGTGTCAGGATAAGAGAAAGGGAGCACCGGGGGCAAAGGGGCTCATGGCATCTCCGTTGGCGCTCTCGTTGTTACGGTTTCCAAGGGCGGAAGTCCGTGCACACACACGCATACCAACTCACCTCTTCGCAAAGCGTTCGCCTCTAGAATAGAGAGCAGCTATTCCGCAACGCTGTCAATCAAAGGTGGCAGCGCGCGCGTTTCGTGCTGCGTTCCCCGTGCGCCGCTTCCTGATGCAAAACGAAATCGTGCTTCCGAAAGGAGCAGCGCTACCGTCGAGAAGGGAAGAGCAGGTGGAGGAGGGGGTTCCCCCTAGTCGATTGCGTGTGTGCACACGTCGTGAGGCCTGACATGCATTCCATCGTCCCGTGGGGTTAAGAACCACAAATATAGTAGCCTAACGGGCGAAGAACTTGAGGTGTACGCACAACACTCGAACATTAAAACGGTGCAGAGGACACGTATATAGGGGACGTCCTTGAACCTGGCTTAACCAGAGGGCGCAATGAACTTCCAGCTCCCAGATTCGATTGTGCGTAAGCTGCTCCAGAACATCCGGGTGTAATTATCGGTGCTTAAGTAAATCATATGCTAGCTTCGGCCAATACTGATGCGTTGCGCTCTATAAAACATGAATGAAGCGTGCCAAAGTCGTAATGTAATGAAGCCATTTCTGAGAAGGATAAACGGCCCTCTGATAACTTTGTTGGTGTTTTGTAATTTCATTATGTGCAATCGACAGTCTTTCACACCTTATAAGACTTTTTTTTTAGGTTTTGTTGTTCTATTTTTTTTTCTATTGTTGTAGTTCATATACTAAGGATTTCGGTGTAGTTGGCATATATACCATGCAGGAAAACTCCGCAATCATTACTACTATTTTACATCTATAGCAAAGAATAAGTCATATATATATCGTGTACGAGAAACCTCGTGAATTTTTTTGCTGAATTGACTTCATCACAAGTGGGAAACGCTGATCGTGCAGGAGACCTCACAGCTATTAAAACCACTTCTGGTTTTAGAGCCGTCATGAGCCTCACCCTATTCAGCAGCGCTGCATCGTATCAGCGAGATCGAGTAGCGTTGAATCCCGGATGTTGTCGGATGAATTCTTGACGTCCGTTCGCGGTGATGCGCGCTCCAGAAAAAAAAATGAAAAGGGAGCAGAGTGCATGCGGGGCCTTTTCTTTCACTGGCCGGCGTGCCCCGTTCGACGAGGTCGTTTCGAGGAAAGTTCAAAAAAGACAGGAGAAACAAAATACACTCCGGTTTCGGTTGAACTACTGGACTTGAGAGTGGATGCTTATACCGGAAGAGACTCGAAACCTTCCCGAATGCAGCGTTCATGTATGTTTACTTTCGTATATAACGGAGGAGATGCACCGAACGTCGGAGCCGTCAAACACCGACGGCGATGGTTGGCCACCAAAACAACTCGCACGCCAAAGCAACGGCGTATCTGCGGCCGTGGTAGCACAAAACAGCTACCTCCCTCGTGCTGCAGTTCGCTCGCTACGATGTTCGCTACGATGTAGAAAAAACGAGTTTGGTGAACAAAACTCCAGATGGGCGGGGAGGGGGATAAGATGTTTCTTGGACGTCGAAGCAAAACGTAAAGGCGAGCTATAGTTATTACTGGTGCATACTTGTAATAAAAGCGCTCGAAAGATAGGGACAAGACAGTGTCCAACACGAGTGCTTACACACAAATGAACGCTGTCACGTTCAGCCATGAACAGAATTGTACTTTTTTTTTTGTCGTATATATTCCAGATGAGGTAGTGAAAATGGGTGATCAGTACGATGGCATGTAAGAAGGGCGAAACTATTTACAGCGAAAGCTGTTATGAGATCACAGTGGCCGCTTTTTGGCGCCGCAGTTGTTCGTCACCACTGGCGTCCGTAACCGCTATCGCACAAAAAGAAAAAAAACGAGATAAATAAACATATCCAACATGGAACTGAGTTCGAACCAGTATTCTACCACCGAGCCTTGCCGGTTCTAGAAACTCGTAAGCAAAAAGATCATATAGAGGCTTCATGTCGGGAAAGAACGACGTTAGCTTATTTAATGTAGCATGGTGAAAGAGTAAATTAACAATGAGGCGTCACACAATTTGAATTGTGAAACTATGTGGCACACATTGCGAGTCGCATAGCTGGAGGGTCGTTGAATGCTTCCAACCCATTACAAAAGGAAGTCATATTTGTTCACCGTCATCAGCCACCGCACCAACGAAGTGTACATAATGCATCACAGGTGTGTCGCAGATACCACACATTTCAGAACGACGAATAATAGCACATTAAATGCTTCCTTCGCAGAAACTGTGATGATTTATAGCGCAATGGATGCTACGCAAGTGTACTTACATTAGTTGCTAAGGAAGAGCAAGAGGCCCTAATGATACGTTTCCTTAGTACCTCAATAACGTTATCTCTCTCATACTAATACACAATCTTGATGGGAGCCGACAGATGGAAACAACAAAGTAGGATAATCATAAGATGAACAGGTGAAGTGTCTGAGACTGGCTGGCCAACGTTTCGCGTTTCTATAGGAGGATCTATCTTTTTCAAAGGCCTTTGAAAAGGATAGGTCCTCCTATCGAAACGTCGGCCAGCCAGTCTGAGGCACTTCACCTGTTGATCATATGATTATACCATCATGCAAATACATGTAATATAACTTCGTATAGGATTGGTAAGATAACTACCACGTGTCACACTGCGCGAATAGCAGCTTTTGCTGTGATAGTTGCTGCGTTTTGCATGCAGGCTTGCCATTTTTTTCCTGACTCGTGGGAACATTCCTGCACACATCTTTGAGAAAGAGGAAGAGTCATGCCACAAGCAGTACGTGCATTACGTTTATACTTAGCCCCCAAGTGCGCTGCCAATACTCTTTCTAATAATTCTAGATTATGAGCTCCACAGTTGGAACCTCTACAGTCCACCACTCTACCAACTGAGCTATCGACGGAGGATGGCTAGATTATGAGATCGAAGTGGCTGGTTCGAATTTCGGAGGCTATGACCACTACGTTTCCACAGACATGCACTGTTTCAAAGAAGCTTGTTCATCACTTCTTTAGGTGTACGTCAGAAAAACGCAGAGGGTCAAATTTAATGCCCATGTCACAGCAACTGTCGATGTGCTGCTTTGCTTTAAGACGTGCGACCAGATAGAGCAAATCAGGCAAAACGAGCGAGTAACGTGCATGGAACTCGTTTCTTGCAGCTTACTTTCAAGCTGAAAACCATATTCGCAACAAAAACAACGGCGAGGTGCCGCAGAGCGCGCTGGTAAATTTTGTTCAATGAGAGTTCATTTTGTTGTTGTTGTTGTTGTTGTTGTTGTTGTCGTTGTCGTTGTCGTTGTTGTTGTTGTTGTCGTCGTCGTCGTCGTCGTCGTCGTCGTCGTCGTCGTCGTCGTCGTCGTCGTCGTTGTTGTTGTTGTTGTTGTTGTTGTTGTTGTTGTTGTTGTTGTTGTTGTTGTTGTTGTTGTTGTTGTTGTTGTTGTTGTTGTTGTTCATGATAAACATGAGCTTGAAGGAGCAAGTAACAAGCTTCTCTGTACAAGTTACCGCAAGAAACTTATCTTTCAACATACAACTGTACACATTGTTTATTTGTAGGAACAAATTCAATTTCCCCTGCGGGAGGCAAAGACTAAAGGCTCAAAGTCTGACGAGGTCTCACCTCTTCTGAACTAATACAGTCTGCATCAGTGACATATACATTTGCACACCAGTAACATATACATTGACACATCGGTTACATATTTCACACACATTTTACAAATTTCATTTGTAGACGATACTTGCATGCTGTCATATATTTATCTTGTACATTTGAAATGGTCCATAAATTCAAAACATGCTTTTTCGGCACTTAAAACACTAAATGCCGACTCGCAATAAAGGGCTCACGCTGCCTTTGTAGAAGCCACGACATTGTGAAAGAGACCCGGTTAGACTCAAAGTCTGCGACGTGAAGTGAACGCTGGTTTAATCGTTCTTCTTGCACGGGAGCTAAAGACAATCCAGTCGCGCCTTCGTCTATAAAGCAGCTTATCTGCCGCAATGAATATGATGCGTTTACTTCATGATACCCGCCACATTGTACTTCCACTCGACTAAGTTGTATCTGTGACGTCACGTGAAAAACGCCATGCCTGGGCCGTAGGCGTAGCACAGCCACAGCGAAAGCTAGAAGACTTTCAGAGCCTTTTCAAAACACTCATCGGGTAACTACTGCAAGCACACTTGTTTGGTACCCGCTAGATCATTAATAATAAAATTTTGGTAGTAAGCCGGCATTCGCTATGCTATTTTTTGTCATTCTGCTTAGAGCGGCATGGTATCCGCTAAGCACTTGCAAGGAATTTTGTTCCAATTGTCGATGCAGTGGCTGACGACGATAAGAAATTATGGCTGAAATGGGTGTGCACCACAGTTAATAGGGTAACAAGAACAAGCTTTTGTGATGGTTTGGAGCATTGGCGGCCCAACTCGTTACTCTATTCGCATTGTGCGACGACTGGTTATTCGTTCGCTGTTGTAAAACGCTTTATAAGTAGTATACACGCGATTGATTTCCCGACATCAAGCCTGCCTAAGACAAGCACCAGCGTAACTCAGTGGCATAATATTGGGCTGGCACCCAACGAACCCTGGTTCAAGCCTCACTGTGTCATTGTTGCAAGGTTTCTTATTTTGTCTAGTTTAACGCGATGTGGTTACGGACACCGTCAGCGGCGGCAGCGGCGGACAACAACAGCGCGTGACCCGAAAAGTTATATCATAACAGCTTTCGCTGTAAAACCTTCTTTAACACGACTGGTGACAGCACAGACGAATACCACATGAGAACCCTTCCACTCGAGGTTTGACCTTTCTGGAAGTACACGCCCACGGAGCTTACGAAGAGTGCCTGACGTCAGTGAGGAGCATTACTGCAAATATTATCTGACGTCATTGATATTCGTTGTGACTGTATTGGAAAATGGTGGGCGTGTTTGCTATAGCGATTCATCCGGTCACACAAACGACCTGTCAACAGTATTTCCACATGCGCCAAGCCGTTACGCCAACATCTTCCGCGGCAACGATTAGCGACAACGCCTCAACCACTGACGAAAAAGTCCCAAGAGCGGGCCTAATGCCATCCTTCGTCTTGGACGCCTACGCAACCCCGACCTTCTGGCGTCAGCGGTTTCGCAGGGACGGATGTCGTTGAGACGCTCTGGCACTATGCGATGTGTTCTCCTTACATTCTTTGAAGACCATATAACCGCATTTCCAAAGATTTTCGCATATCAGTCTCTACCGCCTGTTACCTCTTTTGTACAACATTAACGTGACGCAAAATTCGGTTTTGACCATGGCCACTTCCACAGCAAACATTTTGATTTACTAAAACGAAAGTTCAGGAGACTTTACACTCTTTTAAAACAAGAAATCAAAGTTCTGGCTGTATTCGTGTCAGACATGGAGCGAGCATTCATATGTTGTACATTAATTTAACGCTTCGAAGGCCTAATACGAGCGTGTTTGTCTTTGTATGTCTTCTCCAAGGTTGTGCAGATTTGAAAGAAGCAGTCAGTCCGCGTATGTACAATACGCGCGTCTACATATAGCTGTACACTTGTAATGCTGTTGATGATGATTATGATGATGATGGGCATTTCATAACGGGTGAGAAGCCTTAGACCAACCATTCGTTTCATTAAACACTTGACTAGGTGTGATGCCTGGTGAAATTCTATGCTTCTGTCGCGCAATATTAAGTCACTGACTCCTCACCCCTCGAGACGCCTGTGTAGAATCCTTTTCCGAAGCAGCTTCAAGCGCTGGTTCGACTCTGTGATAAAACACTAGATTGCCACGCAGGGTGTCCGGGTTCCATTCTGACTCGAGTCTTGTTTCCTTCGTCGTCGGCTCGCTGTGGGCAATCGCCTTAACAATATGTCCATGCGCGAAAAGGTTCGACGTCGCACGCACTATCTAATTCAACCCCGAATCACGGTAAACTGGCCAGCTGTAAACTTGTCCAGGATGTCTTCAAATGAGTATCCACTGAAATTCGTCTGACAGCCTAAGCAACTGGAACAGTCGCGACTAATAAATTAGGTGGTTCTCGCGGGATCTCAGTCAGTCGGGCCACTGGTTTATGTTAAATGATAATGCACGCGCCGAGCAACTGCACGAGTGTGCATAACATTCAGGTTGTGTGTGCTCGTGGTACCTCAATTGCACAAGCGCCCCACGAGGTGTGCGATGACGTCACACCCAGTGATGACGTTGAAGGTGGGACCGCAGCGACAGGAGGTTGTGACGCAAAAATTTGCGAGAAGCGAGCTGAGATGGAAGTGCAGCAAGAAGTCGCGACACAGACGGAGCGAAAAGAAAAGAATAAATAAATAAAATGTCGGTTATGCCATCGAGCACTGAGAGACGTCGAGGAAGAAGCGTCCGGCAGCTCATCGGCCATTCGGAAAACGCCCATGGATCCCCCACGGAACGCGTGCAGCCGACATCGAAAATGTATGCGGCCCGGCCGTACTCGAGGCCCGCGCAATTCCGTACCGCCTCGCAAGCGACCGGAGTCGCGCATATGCGTGTATGCGTCCTCCATGCACTCACGCTCGTTTTTAGCGTCTCCGAAAGGGCAGGCCCGTCCCAGGCTCGGAGAGGAAGATGCGGCTTTTTTTTTCTTTTACTGGTGTAGATCTCGAGACAGAATATGCACGAGATTAAAGGAAGCAATGAAAGAAGACGGCAGTGGTTGCTTCCTTTTGCTTCCCAGATAAGCAGCACTCGCTGTGATGGCAAATCGCTCTCCCCGTTCGCGCACACTTCCTGCCTCGTGGCTATACATCTCTTTCAGGCTACGCTCCGGCGAGGAAGAGGAGACGTGGGACTCTGATTTGCATGTTGTATATTTCAGCGTCCCATCTTGTGTTTAGTATACCAACAATGTGAAAAAGAGTTGGGAGAGAGACGTGGTACCGCGTAGTGGCTTCCACCACGGTCACCGAGGTTTGCGACTGAACGGTGATGACTCAGAGCACCGCGTCATGCGTGTAAGAAGGCTATGGAAGTGAGAAATTTTAAAAAAAAGAGAGAGAGAAAGGTACTTATGAAAACAAGATATGAAGATATATAATGTCGAAGATTCATCCTGTCATTTAATGTCTCATGTATTTCCCAAAACTACGCGCCTCCGCAGCAGATGCATAGATACTATGTTAAATTTTAAAATCACTGCTGTGAATCCGAAAGTTAACTACATAACATCTCCGATCAACAATTCTCATTTTCTCTGCGTGTGTTTTTGTATCATGTTCAATAGGATAAAAACTTGTTAACCCGTTGGGTGCCGATGGTATAAGTAAGGCCAGAAGCAGCTATGCCATGAAAAAAAAAGAAAATAAAACTATAAGTAAAGCTGCCAATTGCGATGACTGCTGAATGCTAAATATTTCGCACGTATACGCACACCTCTTTAATGAAATTTTTCATCAACCATATTACCTTGTAAGTGTGTAAATATCCGATTAATGCACACATTGCATATGTGGAAGCACTCGGCTATGGGGATCTTCGGATGAATAAGTTACATCTATCAACAAATGGGCAGTATCACATGCAGAGATAGCTGCGCGATGGATCTTACACTATTATGAATGGAGAGAAAATAGTGAAAGATATATAAAGAGGTACACCCAAATGATATCTCACGTTGGTTGCCCCGTGAGAGAGACAAGGAAAGGCACGGGGGTAACCATGTTTGGTTGAAGCAGCGCTCACGGGATGAGGATGAAGAAAGAGGCGCTAAGTTCAGCATGTACAGTTCAGCACAGTTCGTTCTTACCGCTCAATTCTTGGCCAATCCCCCAAATTGGGTATGCGTGACAGTTAGTAGGTGAACAAGAACAAGTTCGTTCTCGTCCCGAGTGCGCTTCTTCAACCAACGATGAACGCCCACCAACTCGCTCGTGTTTCTATGCTCGGGTGATGGTTAACCAGTCGGAAGCATAAAGCTGTGGACCTTAAACTTTAAGTAAACGCTATCAACTATTTCGTTGATATTAGCTTCGAATATTTATTTACTGGGATCGATGTTTTCAGTACTGAGTACGCGGTTGTCTTGTCTGTTTGATCATTTTCGAATAATCGGGTTTTCGCACAGTCACTGGGTGCGCAGGCCCCGTGAGAGAATCGTCCTTCATGGCTTCTCATCCTCCGGCTTGCCGACCTGATCTCCTGCAAGCATTCGTCAGCCGATAGTTATAGCCGGGGAGAACAGAACGACGACACAGAGGCAAGAAGGACACGAATTTGTCTCTGTGCCGTCGTTCTGTTCTCGCGCTATATCTATCGTCATGTCATACCAACTAGCCCAAGCTGCCACACTTCTACGTTCGTCAGAATTGCGGGAACTTGAGCCTACGTGGACCGGAAGAA